TAAGACATACTCCATCGCATACGGCAATAATGACAGAAATAATTAAAGGATGAATATGAGATATAGAAATGTTATTTGATAATAAATACAAAGATAAATCTTTGTTAAAGATTTGATCAGATATATTAGTTGATCTCATTATTATTCGTAAGGTTTGATCGATGATCAATTCAGCTGATTCACTAATTTTGTGTAATAACCACAGTTGTTGATAAACAGCAGATGGCATTGATTTCTGCTTGGTTTGAATTTTATCATTAGGTTCCTTAGTATTCTGCAATAAACATTGACAAAAGTTAGAGAGACGTTTTTCATCTTTCAATTGTGTTTGCATCCATGGTATAATAATATTTTCATGTAGTTTCAATAGACTCGTTATTAAATATGTCGTTCTACTTGGATAATGGGGATGATCAAGTAAAGTGTTAAGTGCGATAAAGATAACTGAGTTTGATGGTAATCTTTGTATATCATTGAGAGCATCGAAAAAAAGAACTGTTCCAAATGGAATTGAATATTGTGTAGATAAAGTAATAAGTAAATTACAAAACGTATCATAATCATCAGATGACCATTCCCAACTAATCCAACCAATAGCAAGAAGAAGTGATTGATGAAAACGAGGATGAACAGTGATTGTAAGAATACGTTTTGCAACCTCATCAGGCGAACCATTTACAAGTGACTGTGCAACAAAATAATCTTGAAATGATAAATGAAGAAATCCAAATGTTTGTAAACCTCGTTCAGCAAAAATTCCAATGTTAAAGTCAACTATCGATATCAACTTACAGACGTATTCACGTAACGTTTTACGATCACATGATATACCTCGTTGTTTTAAGGTTGAAAAGCATAGCTGTTTAATATCGTACTCATCTATAAGACCAGATGGTGAATTTAAATGAAGATAACAAGCAACAGCGATCCAAAAATTAATAAGTACTCTCTCTGGAATTTTCGATTCATGATTTTTCCAAGAATGTAGTGCTACTTGAACGGCATGATCATAAACTTCGACTCGAAATTTAGGGTTAAATTTATCGAATGATTGAAAAGTAAATTTGCAAATCAAAGATAATAAAGAAGGATTTGATAATAATTCTGAACTATTTTTTAGCAATGCTTTCAATACATTATATCGTCTCTTCGATAGAACTTTTACTAATTCTCGATCAAGATTAATTCCTTCATTCAACAAAATTTTAAATAGACTTTTATCGACTTCGAACAACCATTTTTTGACAAATTCCTTTGTTTCATTGTAATTCATTAATAAAAATGCATAGTGACAGATGAAAGTACCAACAAGTGGATGCAGCTGATAACCGATAATACGACTCGTAATAATTATCTGATTACCACCAAGTATACTCGGTGGCTTGGTTTCAATAATTTGATGATAACGATAATCTAACGATGTCCCCTAAAACATTCTATCATCGAATGCCGAAATAAAGTCAGGTCCACGCACATATTCATCAACAAATTTCCTAACAAGATCAACAATTTCTCTTTTTTCCCTAACATCAGTAATCTCATCAAGTCCATCTAAAAGAATCAAATTATGAGCATGAGCTATCAATTCTTTCAACACATTTTTATTATCATCATGACAATAACGTTTTGAATCCCAGGTATGCTCTCCAATATAATCTATGACTGTCTTTGTTGGATATTGCTTAAGCCACATTGCAAATTCACCAATTCGAATCAAAATAGGAATACGAACTGGAATAGAATCATCTCCTTCTAAAGCTACTCGTTCTTGACCATTAAGAATTGATTCAGCAAAAACACGTGTAATCCATCGAAGGAGACTAGTTTTTGCACTACCTGGATCACCTAATATGATAATCCATCGATTGCACCGAAGTATATTCGTAATGTGCTCGGCTTTATCACTCCTATTTATTTTTATTTGTTCGACTGAAGGTAAAAAGGTACTAAGATTATTATTGACACCCTTATGTGAATTATCATTTGTAGAAAATTGGGAATTTAAATTTTCAAATGATCTATTTGTGCAATCGAATTCTATCTCAATACATTTTAGTGTTTTCTTAAGACACTCCAGAGTTTCTGAACTGATTGAAATTACTTTTAATTCATGAGTTTTACAAAAAAGATCATTAATATTCTCTATCAAACGGTGCACCTTCACTTTTGAATGAAAAGAAATGCATGTTCGAAGATATTCGTCGAAAAATTTCTGATGTTCACATAATAGTTGATTCAAACTTTTTTGTTCTTTTATGGGGTGTGGGTGTGGGTGTGAGGTGTGGGTGTGAGGTGTGTGGGTGTGAGGTGTGGGTATCGATGCAAGTATTCTATTCATTCACACTCATACACACATGCCCACACTCTGTATTTTTCACTGAAAAAGTTACTTGATTTTTATCAACTAACCTATGTTTATATGAATCAATGGAGAAAGACTGTCTCATCAGGTTGACAGTTTTCCCATTGATGTACATATCATCGCATATACTTCGTTTTGGATATGTTTTTCTTTTTCTTTTCAATTAACTTTGTGCTTCGTGCGGTTGCAATTAGAAAATATATACAGTAGACAACAAAAGTCGCATCCCTAGATGAAAACTGTCTTAGTAAGGGTTGAAATGAATTTCTACTTCCCAGGTCATTCAATCTCACCTGTAGATCCTACCGGAAACTGTCGAATTCGATATCGGATCACATAGGAATTCGCCGGATTCCCAACTAAATCCGATCGGAATCCAACCGTATTTCACAGGATTCCTAGCTAACGGATTCCGGACCGGATTACGTCGGAAAGGATCCGTTCGGTTTCTGTCGCAACTGCTTGTCAGATAATGCCGTAACGAGGATTCTTTCACAGAGAAACGCCTGATAACTTAAGGTTCCGACAGAATACAGTCGGATTTCATCAGAAGTTGACTGAATCTGTTTCCATTGCACGAGGATTCAATCAATATTTCACACAGATTTCATTCAAGCATTCTCAAAATTTCCAAAGATTTACTAGAGATTTCTGAGAAGTTGAGCCCATTTTCCACAAGATATCTAAAGATTTTTCAAGGATTTCATCAAGATTTCGAACGATTTATCAAGGGTTTCATTGAGATTTCTGAAGATTTCACAAGGATTTCATCAAGATTTATAGGTTTTTCCAGGATTGAATCGAAATTTTGTACAGATTTCACTAGGATACTATCAATATTTCTAACGACTGCACCCGGATATCATCAAGAGTTTAAACGAATTCTACTGTTTCAACTGGGATTATTCCTGGAATCCAACAATGTATATACCACGATCCTTCTTAAAATCGCACAATACTTGTGCTAAGATCGTTTCTAATGTATAGAACTTAATTAAACAACATTGCAGAATTCACTTGATATATGAAAGTAGAGACTTCTTTAGATAGATCGATATCTGTAAAACAAAACGGTGAATGAAATCTGGACGAAATCGGATTTCCAGATTTTTTATTTTATTGTTGGAAATTTATAAAAAGTGGTATATCTAATTAATTTATTAGCTAATTGATCTGTCAGAATATATTCTAATTCATGAATCCGGTTACGTGGAAAATATTTCTGTATTATGGAAACGAATCATTTAACATAGGATGAACCTCGGGAACATATTAGAACTTTAGTTGAAATATGAATGAAAACGCTTTTGTAAGAGATATGTATGTGTAAAACTGAACGGCAAAAGTTTATTGGATGATTATTCAAAGTATAGATTTCGTCGCTATTCAATTTTTTTTTGCAAGGAATATGAGAAAAACTTGAATGACAATGGAAAAGAAGAGAGCGATGATATTGTTTCTTCTACAGAGCCCTAGCCATTTTGCTGAATCGCGTACGTTAGTTTGCGGATTATTTCCGATATGTGCCAGTAACTAATTCCTGTCGGTTCTATGCTATCCGATGTGAAAAATCCGATCAATGGAATTTCTGTATTTTTCTATAATCCGACAAGTTCCGATACCAGTGATTGATCGGTTTTATCATGGAATCCGGTGTCATGTGAAACCACAAATTCCGGCCATTTCTCGATATCAGATTCCCCTGAATCCCATCGGAAGCGAACAGATCCTAAGATCGGATCTGACCAGTTCCGAATGCATGAATTTAGTCGGAACTCGATGAATCCGGTCAGCGAATATCAAAGGAAAACAGTGGATAGCATCGGAATCCGACAAAAAGTAAACGACCGAATCCGATTAGCCATATGTCAACGGATTTAAAACCTGTCTGACAGGATCCGACATAGCTATTTCGACCTGGGTTCTCTATAGGCTATTATTATGAAAACTCTACCATAGGTTAGTCCATACTTATGTGGTCTGCAATGAAATCTTAAGTTCGAACAGTTGAGCTTAGGTACAAATTTGCATGAAATATGTTATTTCAGTGGGCAAGCAGTATATTATACGTCATAACTTAACGAAGACTCGTCCGTTGATAATGAAAACTTTACTCAAGTGAGACCAGGAGTCAAGCTTTCCAAAGATAGATTGGTTGATTGACATTGTATCTCTATTTTAGCTCGAGACAATACAATAAGAAAATATTCTTGGTGTTGACCTGATATTGTAGCCTCAGATTTATTGGACTTTGAACATTATTCTATTTTATTTAAATATTGTCTATTGCAAAATCTCTTTTTTTTATTGATAATCATATAAATAGTATTCGAAGTCACTAAATAAAGGAATGAAAAATTTGGGTCTATGGTGGGTAATGTGTATGTAGAAGTTGATATCTCATCAATAATTCACTCACACATTTCGTTTATATTGGAATTTGAATTAGGCAACTCATGGATAATGGATAGGAAGTACTGATATTTCATCTATACTTCTTGTTTCTGGAGAACTTTTCATATTCCATATTAATTCATCTATTTATTTTAAGAAACCACACTTTGATGGCTGTGACTAGCTTCAAGTTTTACAGTAGATATTCAGAGTTCTCTAGATTTCGAGTTCAGAGAATTGGAAAAGATTTCAGTACAGTATTTATTCGATAAAAGACAAATAAACTGTCCATAATCAATCAACAGATTTTAGATCATCTGAACAGAGTATTCAAAAACCAGTTAAAAACAATGAATATGTTACAAAAGAATGCGCAAACTTTTTTTACGGATATTTAATCGAATAAATGAGAAAGTTTCATTGCATTGCTAAATAAAAGACGTACAAAGCTTCAAGCAAGTTGTAATATTTATCTAAATAAAATAAAACCCATGCCCTTTCAAAACAACATTTAAACAGGTATTTTGCACAAGGTTCAGTTATTTTAGAGTTGATGAGAAATTTAAATTTGCGACAAAATCGAAAAAAGATGTATCTTTAGCACACACATATTCATAATCCTATAAAGGTATAAAGCAATATCTATAGAGGTATTAAAGGTATGTACGTGTAAGGTTATAGCCATCGAGGTATTAGACGTATACGACTGTAAGCATAGAGGCATTATATGTATATAATGAGTATTAGTGTGTTTGAGAGCAATAGTCGCAGTCACATCTTTCGGTGATGTGGATATACTCATCTATAAGTCTGCTTTGAATGTGTAAAAAAGATAGCCACGATATGTAGACAGAGCCGAGAATAGTTCATGGATCTTTGGAGACTGCCATGCGCCCCCACCCTGCGATTCTGAAATAAGAAAGTCAGTGGCGTAGACAGAAGAATTATTTTTGCTATGATAATTGCTTGAATGTGATGGAAGAACTTTTCAGTATTCAAATGTGTCTGTAGGCACACTAACACTCGTCATTTGTTATTATGGCTATTTAGCTTCATATCTTTAAAAAGATACAAACCGACTGAATTTTATAGTTTGACTTTGTCACATATTCCGAGTTCCAATATATAGAATTTTCAATTATTTAGATAGGTATTACGGTCTGCTCGAAATGAAGTACTTCTTCTTTTTGAAAATAGAATGAAAACTTGTCATTGATTTGATTGCATATCGGTAAGAATAGAACATTATTATTCTTCATTACCACAAAGAAAAGTATTATACTGGGAGTTGACAACTAGAACAATGCTCGTTTATCACAGATAATCTCCTATTGAATAGTATTTTTGTAAACAAATGGTCGTTTACTACAGATCAAATCATAGATAATCATCAATTTAAACGACAAGGGCACAAATTTTATTTTTACTTCTTCCAAATCATTCATTTCGATAAACAAGCGTTTTGGACAATGTATCATTGTTTTAACTGTATAATGTTAAGTATAGTTTCAGCGGCAAAGAAGCATCTGTCCAGTTGTCTTGCATCGCCATATTGTGAATATGCTCGTATAGTATTACAATTCCCACTGTAACGCTCTGTGAAAGAGATTATCAGTGTATTCCAGAATTTCTAGAAATCTTCCAATCTATCTATCCTAGTTCTTTTCTTTCCTATTGTTTGAGTATTTTCTGTTTTTTGGTTAGATAGTAATGAACGACTTCACAACAAAAAGAACTGTGATAGTAGATCTCTATTGCAGTAAAACAGCAATTAATTAAATAATGATTTGACTAACTCCTTTGCTGCAAATAATATGCATACTTTTGTACTACAGAAGACACTTTTTGATTCTAACAGAAGGAGCAGCATATTAAAAATATTTCACACAGTTTACGTGTGTTTATTTAGTATAGAAATGCTCTCTTTGTCAATTAAACTACAGTTAATATAAATCATGTAGAAAATATGAAATATTACTACTGAAAGGTGATTGTCGAATACATATATAGCGTCGTATTTGGGTAAGTCAGACCAACAACAAGTACTATGGTAAAGAATTCTTTATAGAATGCTGAAATATTGAACAAATCAGAATGTTTATTAATACATAAGATTTTTCTCTTGTGTTCACATAAGCTTTGTTTAACTTCACCACAATAGATAATAAGATATTCATATAACATTCCTACTATTATATCTATTAAAATTCACACAAACACAATATTTGAAATGATGGATGTTTTTGTATTGTTATCATTATTTTTTTTCATTTCTATTTCATGCAGTAAGTACTGAAAACGTATCTTTTAATATATAAAAAGAAAGTTATGCAATAATAGGTGATGGAGCTTTTCGTTTTGCCAACTATATTCAAGATCATATGGTATTACAACGAGCGCCACATCGAGCTGTGATTTGGGGTTTTGGAAGTGCAAACAAGTTAACTACACTTCAAATAAATACTAAAACTTATACAAGTATTAGTCGAGTAGAACCAGCAAATAATATAGGTGAAAGTATTTGGTCAATATCACTTGATCCAGTTTCTGATGAAGGACCATATAATATTCAAGTTACACAACCATTAGATAATGATACACTTGTTACTATAACACTTCATGATGTATTATTTGGCGATGTATGGATATGTTCAGGACAATCAAATATGCAAATGACAGTAATAGATATTTTTAATGCAACACAAGAAATAATTAATGCTGGGAAATATCCTAAAATTCGAGTATTTACCGCAGCATTGGAAGCATCAGACACACCTGTAGAAGAATTAATAGATATCGTTGAAAATTGGTCTATTGCATCACCAGAAAGTATTGGCGGACCATCATATAGTTATATGTCAGCTGTATGTTGGCTTTATGGTCGTATGATCCATGAAGCATTAGGTGGTCGACCCATTGGACTCATTGCTACTAGTTGGGGTGGCACAATTATTGAAAAATGGATGCCACCAGAACCTCTACATGCTTGTGGTATTTTATCGTAGGCTTGAAAAGATCCTTTATTCAGTTGAAAATTTGTATATTTGCATATAGAAGCACGGCAATATCATTATATTCCAATGACAAAACTTCTAAAATGTTACCAAATGATCATTCTCAATTATTCAATGCAATGATTTATCCATTTACACGTATGGTTATTTATGGTGTTATTTGGTATCAAGGTAATATGACATATATAACTTACTTATGATTCCATTTTTAAGCTATTTAGGTGAATCCAATTCTAATTATAATACAGATAAATATTCTTGTACATTTTCGAAAATGATTCAATATTGGAGACAAACATGGAATGAGCGTACAAATTATTTAACCGATAGTTACTTTCCATTCGGTTTTGTTCAAGTACGTTTATTTTCTTTTTATGTGAATGAAAAAGTAACAATTCTGATCGCTGTAGTTATCAACATTCTCCAATGAAAGTACAACAGTTGGTGGTTTTCCACTTATTCGATGGCATCAAACATTTGATGTCGGCTATGTGCCAAATAATGTCGTTCCTAAAGTATTTATGGCTGTCACTTTAGATCTACGTGATGATCCTTTTGAGTAAGTTTACTTCAAGAGTAAAATATGTTCTTAAATAGGTGGTTATATATATATATATATATACTTTTAGTATTCATCCCCGAACTAAATTAGATGTTGCCTATCGATTATCACGTTCAGGTCTAGCAGTTGCTTATAATCAATCAGTAGAATTTCAAGGTCCTATTGTTTCAAGTGTTAGCTATTTGCCCGGTAGCAAATCTATTAATATCACTTATACTGCTGCAGAAAATATTGAATTACGTAATCGAAATGGATTTGAAATTTGTTGTCACGGTTCTAAATGTAAAGATGATACAGTCTGGGACCCTGCACCTATATCCAGTAAAAATGATTTGACCATAACATTAACTATATCAAATGCCTGTGTTGGACAACAACTATTTGGTATTCGTTATTTATGGCGTGAAACACCATGCCCATTTAAACAAGCAGCTATTTATAGTTATACTGATCCTAATTTACCTTCTCCACCCTACATAAAATTTTTCTAACAATATATTAACATTTATATTTCATCCTATTTCACACTTGACGATTATGAAATGATTAGTCTTTAATAAAGTTCCATAATGCTCTATAAAAAAAATATAGAAAACGTTTCTTCTCGAAGAGGGCTTACGTGTAAGTATCGATGCTGGATATCGGTATGGATGAGTAGGATTAGATGTCCCACGTCTACACTCAAGCGTTAGGAGAAATTTAAATATTAACTATATGTTATGTGGTTGTAGATATCTTCTCACCGAAGACATCTTTCTACCTCTAGGGTGTGGGGTGCGGGTGTAAGTGTGGGTGTGGGTGTAAGTGTGGGTGTGGGTGTGTGGGTGTGGGTGTGGGGTGTGGGTGTTGCTCTTCTGTTTATCCACACTCACACCCACACCCCACACCCACACCCACCCACACCCACATCCACACCTACACCCACACCCTCAAGTTTTGGTATTGGTTTTATTTTAAGAATAATTTGTTTAATATCAATTGAAGAAAAAGAAATAATTCATTATATTTATTGTGTATTTAAACTACATAGATCTACACTTTTTAAATAAATATTTATCAATTTTTCTAGTCTAGCATTTCTTTCATGTTTTATAAATCACAGAGTTAGCCGAAAACAAAATGTTTCTTCCTGATTCTTTGTCGTTTTGTGGAGAAGAGTGTGCTTTTTTTATTAACAAAAGTGTTCAAGAAAAAAGTAGTCGCTGTATTATCATATTCCACATCTAGACGAATTGATTTGTTCTTGTTTTCTTGTAAGAATATCTTTTGCTGAATTATTCTTCTATAACGATGACCTTTATCAAATAGAAGAAAAAGTTAATCATTTTGATATACGAAGATAATAGATTTTCACTGCCAATATTTTAGAAAGTGAAACATAATATCAAATATTTTCATTTTAACATAATATGTGTTTTATTCGATTGAAGAAAATATCAAGTCAACGTCTATATAGATCATGATCGATGGACTTCCTTTTGTGTTATGATGCCATTTTTGAGGATTCAAACCATAGTTATTATTGAACACTACGATATCTTGAGAATGATAACATATAAGATTATATTAGCAATTATTTTTCACAACAACTCAGTTTTCATAGAAGATTTTGTCTTCATAGACGGCTCTCATTTTTTGTATTATAGTTGATTTTGTAAGAAAAAAAAAATTTATAATATACATCAAAGATTTTTATTCAGATAATATCAGCACAAAATTAAACTGACATTAAAGGAGAATAAGATGAGGATATTCTATAATTGAGCACCAGTCTATGGCAAAGACGATATTTGGGAATTTTCAAAATTGGTGGTTTAATATTCCAAAACGATAAATATTTAAGAAATAGAAAAGCTCGAGCAAGTCGATTGAAAAATTCATGTTTAAATGCATATTTGTCCCGTTATTTCCAATGAGTAACAGAATTAAATACAATATTTGGAATATTATTTCCAATGTCAACGTGACGAGAGTGGGTGTGGGTGTGGGTGGGTGGGTGGGTGTGTGTGTGGGTGTGGGTGGGTGTGGATGTGGATGTGGGTGTGGGTGTGGGTG